ATTCATTCACCGCGTGAGTACATGGAACAAAATGGTATCCGTACACCGGGATGACTGGTGGTGTCCCGCAGCAAGCAACCACTGGCGGACACATCACCCGGAAAAACAACCATGAAACAAAAAAGAAGAGAAAAAGAATAAGAGGTAGAAATAGACAAGAAGACACCGACGGGAGAAACGGCAAGAACTATAAAGTGATGGGGAAATTCAAGGGCGAATGACGAGGCGGGGAGATCACAAGAGTCGCTAGTAATGCAGAAAAGCCTAATCTAACCACAACTGAAAGACAGCCCGAACAGCATAGACATGCTCGGCGAGCCTATACCACGGAAAGATAAAACTGGAAGAGTGAGCATAGGTCACATCAAGATGAGCCGTGGCAGAAGAGACATCATCACGTTTTCGAAGACATGTCAAAAATCGGTGCGTTTCCGTGAGAATGAAAATATGAGGGAATATAGAAAAAGAATAGAGAAGAAAAATAGTCATCAAGGAGGGGAGGTCAGAGATTTTAGAGTCGGTAGTATGGAAGGGATTTTAAGAAGATAGGACGAAGAGAAGAGAAGAGAAGAGAAGAGAAGAGAGAGAGAGACGGAAATCGAGAAGTGAAGCCTCCAGTGGATCAATCACTGCGAGGCATAGTAGACACCGCCCTGGGACTGGGCGTAATAGTAAGTTGCGCCTGGCGGTGTTAACATCCCACCCATGCCAACCACTCCACCAGGCGCGGGAGCATTGTGTATTCCGTATGACGAGTTGGGATACATCTGGTTGGGATCATAGAAGTAGACCGTCCCGCCAGCTTCATGGGCAACCATTCCTGGCTGCGACGCTTGTTCACCCGACGAAGGCGCCGCCGGCACCGTGTAGGGAGGCCCATGTTGTCCCTGCGGGAAGGCCGGCGCGGAGGCTCCTGGAGCACTTGCCGGGTTGAAAGTGGAATAGTCTGTACCCGAACTCGGGTAATAGACGGCAGCCGCCGGGTATGATGCAGGGTAGAACACCTGGGGTTGTTGAAAGCCGTATGGTTGGAACGGCTGCGCATGGATCGCGCGGTCGGGAATGTGGGACACAGGCGTTGCAGACGTGTGAGCAGCAGGTGCGTGGGCAGAGGCCTCCGGACCATAGACGGGCCCGTTGGCAGGCATCGGTACCTGGTGATGAAAAGGCTGCTCCTGTTGGGGCTGGGGCGTGTGGAAGGGAAAGGCTGCCGGCATCTCGATGTCGGCAACTGAAACGGCCTTCTGGGGACGAGGCTGATGCATTGGAATGGGAGCCGGGCGGCTCTCACGGTACGCGGGGGGCTGCGGTAAAGAAGGCATAGGGGGCGGCATTGCCGACGGGGCGACTACTGGACCAGCAGGAACCTGCGGGATTCCCAGAGGCGGTCGGGGAGGAGGTAGGCGGACAACTGGCTTTCCATTTTCAGTGGTAACAATGGTAGGCCGTGAGAAAACCGAGCCGGCTGGCGAGTGCCATCCCTCCTGTGAGGGCGGCTTGCCCAAGGACGATCGTCGGCTGATACTGACACTAGGGGCGTACGTCGAAGTTGCATAGATGCTGGGGCGTCGCCCCGTCATAAAACCGCCACGACGTCCGCGAAACGCCTGCTGATTCGGGCGCAGAGCCCGGGGGATGAAGATGAAGGACCGCTCTATGGCGGGAAAAATGTATCGAGGAGGTTGGCCCGGAAGCGAGATCCGGACAGGTTTATCGCGACGTAGCGGAGGGCGATGCTGAGGTAGCCGAGTGTGTTGCTTTTTTGTGACTGCTGGATAGGAGATAGGCTGCTCCATACCTGGTAAGAGGACCGCCACCGGCACGTTCCCGATCAACGTAGTGCTCGAAAAAGACCGATTAGGCGGGGATGACCTGGGAGCCGTGGGAACAGGTCGCTGGGGGTAGTTCGAGAACCCTGTTGATACGGTTGGGGCCTTGGCTGTCGCTGGACGGTCTCCAGCGACGGTATCGTGGAGATCATGCGTCCACTGTCCTTCGCTCGCATCCGACTTGACGTTGTGTCTACAGCAGGTTAGCTGGTGTTATGGGCTGACACGTAGAAGCGACCGGGCTCTACGAGATCGGAGTCTAGATCTTGACGCACCTGCGCACATTACCGTCCACAATGAGTCCATATGGCCTGGATTTCGATTTCGTGGAAGCCTTGTGGCCATTCGTCACAGTGTCGACAGAACGCTTATCGTGAAGGAAGAAGCTCCCTCGGGTGGGCACCAAAGCAGGGTTCTCATCCTTCTCCTTGGTTATGGTCCTCTCCTGCTCCCGGCGTTTCTTCTCTGTAATGGTGTCCCTTCTCGGTTCCGATGGTGGTGCCGATGGGGTCCTTCCCGTTAGAGGGCCAATCTCCCCTTTCAAGTCATCAAAATGGATCTCCGCCTCCCGGGTGGTGTCTTCGGATAGTTTCATGCCATTCATCATAGCCTCTGTATCTGACATCGTGCTAGCGATAAGCCGTTTGCTTGGAGATGTCGAATGACGGCGCCCCGGTTTCTGGTTCACTTCTGGCCTTCGGCCATTAAGTCGTGAAGCATGACTGTGCGAAGATGTTTGCAGCTCGTCGTCGCTTTCATCACTACCTTCTCCATCGGCGTCTTCATCTTGGTGGCTGATAACAGAGCCTTCGCTGAGAGAGTCATCCTCGAGTTCACCGTCGAGTGAGCCCTCATCTTCGCCTTCCTCGTCTCTTCTCCTTCGGCGGCTAGCACCGATGTTGTGACGTCGTGGGGCCATCTAGACGAAGTCAAATGAATCGAAAGAGGGTAGCTGTAAGGATCGAGGATGATTGCGGTGTAGGCAAACGAGACGAATTATAAGAAATGATCGAAGTGCACTGACGGCTTGCAGGACCAGGTGTTTGCTAGTGGCGGTGGTGATGAGGATGGTGGTTGGTCGGCTGGTTGGTTGGTTGTGGCTAATGGTGGTCGGCGGCGGGTGGGAGGACAGAAGTCAAGGCAAACAGAACGGGGACTAGGAAGAAGAAAGTAGTAACATGCATGTGAGAAGAAAGGAGGGGGGGAGGGAAGAACGGGGAGAAGAAAGTAAGAAGTGGGTGGGGGGGAGGGGGGGGAGGGAAGGAAGAA